TGGATAAGAGGACAAATGTTGTATGTCCATAAATGATGTTTTCAGTAAAATCAATACGAAAATTTGCATTAATCATGACAAACTAGATATCGTTTAAAATTGTTTAAACTACAGTTAAGTTCGTCTATTACCTTTCTTTTATTTATTATTTGATTCTGATTTGTATTAATGTTAAATATCAATCACATTTTGGTATTTTAGTGAGCTAAAAGCAACCCCTGTATGGACATACAATAAATGTGAAGTACAATATGGACATACAATATATTGCTTCCATACTGCAATACTATGCCATTGACATAAAAATATCGTAAAAGTAGTTTAAAAATAGTACTAGTAGTATAAATTAAATTTTTATTATTTAAACAAATTTGTGGATAAATTCAGACACAATTAAACATCAGTCTGTTTCGTAATCAGATTCACTTGGGACAATATCTATCGCCTCCACGGCTGTAGGTAACATCTCCACAAAGTTTTTATAGTCGCCTGGAATAACCTTTTCGCGTAATAGGCACAAAAGGTCATGCTTTTTTGCGTTGGATATTGGCAACAAACTGGTGTACTGTTGCTCAAGAGATACATCGTAGACATTTTCACACTGTTTGCGTGTTCTCGTTCGTTTAGTGCCTACGTCGCGTATGTTCAGTTTTAAAAAGTCATTACTTTTAACATCGTACTTAAAAAAAATGGTTGACGGATTAGTCTTTATAAAGCGTAACCATTTAATTTGTAACCATTTGACTTGATTTCCGTCGGTGTCACATGTAGTATTTACCATAATTTTAGACGCTAACTCCTTAAAATTATAGAAATCTAAGTATGTGAGATGGGTAACTATGTAGGGACGAGGTTTCAGCCTTGCCATTTGTATTAAAACACCCCATTCACGGGGAGTGTACACCTTCTTATTTCTTCGAGCACGTTCTATGGTAGCATGCATCGAATCCACTTCTAGGTATGTATGTCCTGGCTCCAAGTATTTTAGATCTATTACTTCAAGATTATCTATGTTAGCAACAGCATACAGCATCGCAGCAGTCACATATTTATTGCGGTTTTGGCCACCACAAGTGTCTGAAAATGAAGATACATGTGTAACAGTATTAGGTAAAGATTGCAAATATTTTAGCAAACAACTTCCAATTTCAACTGATCCTTTCTTGCCCTGTGTCTCGTCCCACAGATAAGAATAACCATCTGCATTGGAAGCATCAAAAATGGTGAAATTATAGACAGAAAGTTTGCGTCTATAGAATATTTGGCTATCACCAGCATAAGGCACATTTAGTATTGACTGTAAGTCAAATGTAATAGCTCGAAATGTTTCACCTTTATTGTCAACTGCTTTCTGTTTGTCAGCTGCTTTCATTTCCATTCCACTTTTTTCTTTAGCTTTATGTGCCTCCCACTGACTTTGCAATTCTGTTTTATCTGTGGCACTGTTATAAACGTTACATGTTACGCATTGGTCTTTTTTCGGTTTATAAAATGACAAAGGTGGATCATAACTATTAAACACTGATCGAAATACATTGTACTTTACAGATGGTACATTGTTTTGAAGACAATAATTGCTGCAATATAAACGATATATCACACTGATATTTAAGTCACTTGCTAGATATTGCCTCATAGTATCACGGCGACAATAATGGGATGCCATTCTAGGGAACATGTCAATATGCGTCTTAATATGACGAACTTGCTCAGCAGATGTTACATTCGGAGCTGGTCTTCCTGTGCGGTGGTCAAAGCCGACATAAACACCACTGTCTTCAAGGTATTTTAATGCAGTTTCAACTACTTGAAAACTGAATGCAAATGTAGCACAAAAATATTTTTGACACACCCTTACACGTTTATTAGAGGCACTTAGTAAATGATAATAACGACTGTGTTTTCTAGTTTTTTTTCTATCATTACGATTTCTTTCTCTGTCAATGTTTTTCTCTTCCACTAGCGAGCAAATAAAAATTGTTTGTTTTGTTGAATCAGCCATTTCCCAATATTCCTTACAAATTATTATTTGTCTGTCTCTAGGTATGTTAATGCTGCATTTATATCTACAGTTATTGCAATTAACTATACCAGGCGATTTAGCTGTTACTATCGCACCTTTTCTGTTTACATATTCTTTGCCAGCCACTCTTAACAACTTCATTTTATTTTTCTTCCATAATTCCGGTTTAGCCACTAGCCTGCGTTTTCTTTCTCTTCGTGCTGTTCCTTCTATGTCATAAACTACAGGAGATAGTACGCGATGATTTTCTGAGTCATGTGTTGGCGAAGCTGAACTACTATCAGATGGAAGGTAGTCACTTCCAGAATCAGCAAATGGCTCATCGACAGTACACTCTGATAATCGTCTTATACAGGAAGGTCCAGCTACTGTCTCTGGAAGAATGTCATCTTGATTCTCATCCAAATTTAAATCTGAAAACATTCAAGCTACAGTTTTTTTCTTCATTTGTTACTTTATTATGTCAAATAAAAATATTTATGATCCAACTACTTACTATTTTTTGCAATTTGAACTATTCGCTTTCCTCGGCTGTTCATTTTACTTTTATATTTCTTACGCTACACAAATTTATCAATTAAATGTGTAGATAACTTTAAGTCGAAAATACAACAAACACTGAAACGACAAATTCCTAGCACACTCACAAATATTGTTATTTACCCCACCAACAGACTCCTGCGATGTCTTTGCGCAGACGCTTGCAACACGTGCTTTAAGCCAACGAGCCTCCAACAATGTAAACAAACATTGTATCTTTGGACATACAAAAAAAAAGTTGTTCGAGTTGAATTTTGTGAACTGCACAAATATTGTATTTGACATACAACATTTGTGCAGGATGTTCATGGTGTTATGAATGGACATGTCTTTAATGTTACTTCAGTAACTACTAAACCATTCCAAGAGGATATACAATATTTTGGCACAATAAAGATTTTGTCTCGACTGATTTAGAACAGGACATATTTCATTTTAGACAAAAATGGACATACAATATTTGTCCTCTTAGCCATCGATATGTAGTGGGATTCTCATCTTTCAGTACGTCTCCTATCGAGACTCCTATCTTTGTTCGACAGACAGCGATTTTAATGTAATGTCTCTCTCTATTCTGTATGTAATGTGTCATGTTCGCACAAAAAAATCGCTGTCCTGATCAGAAGAAATTAACCACATCAAAGGAAGAAAATTAGGTCCCCTGTTATTTTTAATTTATATTAATGATTGTTGATGTCGCATTAATCAATATGACATTTACCTGTTAGCCTATGATGTCCTTATCTATGTTTCTTGTAAGTTGTAAAGATTCAGATAACTTAGTAAGAGTTAATTGTCAATGAAACTCTGCAAAATGTTTATAAATGATGTTGTAAACTTCATCCTGCAGGAGGAAAAGTGGCACTTTCCTCCCTAGTAATACAAATAGCTATTTTAACTTCTCCATATTTTTACACCAGAAATTGTCTCTTTTTATTATATATTCCACTTTAAGTGGGCAATTGGGACCTGTCCATACACCAAAAATACATCCTTTTCGTCCTGTAATATGTAATTGGCCTTGTATTTGATAATACCATTGATGGTGGATATTAATGTCAAAATTATTGGAGTCTTTATTAAAAATCCAAAAGAGTATTTTTTTCAATTTAATCGCCTCTTCTACCTGCATTTGATATGCAGCGTAAGGACATTTTATTTCAACCACTAATTTATCTCCTACAATGCCGTCTGGAGTAGTACCTACAAATTTAAAAATTATTATTTTGATTTAAAATGAATTTTTTGCAATATGTTATAGTTGAGATGTGAGTAAAAATGTGAACTGATCGTTATGTACCTAAATATGGATATTTTTTGTCAATAAAAATTCCACAATCTCTAATCACTATATTTTCCTGCTCTTGAAGCTGCAAAAGTGTCGTTTTTTTATACTTTTTGCCATGAGAAATAGGAGCAGCATTGACTGATGGTTGGTAAATAATTCTTTTGACTAAAGGTTCACATAAAGTAGTAATTTCTCTAGTACACACTGCTTTAAAGTGTGAGGCCTTAATCATTTTTCTACGAATTTCAAGCCAAACCCTGCTATCCGCCTGTGACATAGTTTGTTCCTGAATTACATTTCTCTTAACGTCAGATGAAGGGAATTCGTTTAAAAATTGAATTTTTTTACTTCATAAATATCTTGATCTAAATCCTTTTTGGTAATTTGCGATTAGATTTTGATTTTATTGCCAATTGTCGCCTTTATTTTTCAATTCAGTTACTAACATGGATTGGTTAGTACGGTTTAAAGTTTTTTTCAATTCTGAATTCCCCGATTTCGAATTATATGATAAAACTGCTGCAAAACATCTACTTTGGTAAGAGCGCCCTCTGGAATAATTGATTCTTTTGCCACCTACAATAGGGTGGGCCGATTTTGGTGGTTTTCGAAAATAAGAATTTGCAACTTAGAAAAAGTTGCAAAACCGAAAAACAAACTTTTTTTATTTCATGGAAAACTATATTTTGTTGTTTTGAACGGCCACTGTGACAGTTAATTTTCGAATTTTGTGAATTTCAATTTCTGCAAATTCTAAACTTCTTCGGAACAGAAAAGCAAGCATTTTTTGTTAAATGACATATTCCAAATTTTTACTTTTTCAACTGCCACAAGGGTATTAAAATTTCAAGGTTAACGTTTCAATATTTGCATATGAAAAAAAATTGTTAGAAACAATACTGAAACGTTTTCTTTATATAGTTTTTTCTATAGCTTTATGTTTTAAACTGCCACATCAACGATAATTCCGGGCAGAACGTCTTAACCAAAGCACGCCACTGGCGCCGTACGCACACTAAAAATATCACGTTGCTAGGCCACGTGATCTTAATTAACGAACGATTGTGCCAATAACAATCAAAGAACCACGTTTAACAGTATCAGTTGCTTTTTGTTGACCGTGCGACGTGTGAGTTGAGTTTAAATAAAATGTCGTGTAAAACGCGAAGTAAAATAGAATGCCCTATTTTTAGAGCTCGCAAATGTATTAGTGAAAATGTTCTGCCGACGTATGAAGATATGAACAGGTATTTCAATTGTGTAGAATATGAACTTAAGCCTCTATCAACAAATCCACAGCAAACCGCAACTGAAGCAACTAAAGTTGTTGTCAAAAAAATTTGGGACAAAGCTTCGATTTCCACTGTACTTCAGTGTACTATTATTAAACGTATAACAAGCTATCGTCTTAAAATAAGAAATTTATTAAAACCTTATAAACAACGAAATAAAGTCATAAGCAGAAGTAGTTTTCTATTAGATCAAAGGACCGTAAGAAAAATGTTGATTAGTTCACTGGATGTAAAAACAACTAAAATAAACCAGAAGCGAATTGAAAGAAACAAATTATTGAACACAAAAAGCGAATTAGATGAGAATGAGAAATCTGGGTTACAAGTGAAAAAAGATACACAGAGAGTGGAAAGATCCCAACAAGAATCCAGTACTTCTCAACAAGTTTTTACCGTACCTCAAGGATGTTTACAAATTCAACGTTATTCATTACAAATACCCGTGCTTGCGAGAACACCTGATCGTTATGGTATTTCTGATCGAGCTGGTGCTGCAATAGCTTCAGGCGTTCTTCAAGATATTGGTATTATTAATAACGAAGACAAAAGCAGTATTATAGATAAGAACAAGATTCGTCGTGCTAGAAGTAAGAAACGTGAAGGTATACTAGAAAACAATCAAAATTCATCATTACGTGGCCTGTTTTTCGAAGAAAGGAAGGATGGAACGCTAAAGATGGAAGATGGTCGTCGAAGAAAAATCTGGCAAGAGCACATTACCCTCTTAAAAATGCCAGAGTCTGTATACTTGACGCATATTTGTCCTGAATCAGGAACTTCGTCGAACATCATGAAATATATTTTAGAGTATTTCGATAAGTCTCAAATTACAACAGATGATCTGAGAGTGATAGGATGCGACGGAACAAACGTCTATGTTGGAAAACATTCAGGAATTATTGCAAATTTGAAAAAACATTTAGATAGACCGTTGCAGTGGTTTATTTGCCAGTTGCATGCAATTGAACTGCCTTTGCGACATCTCATCAATTTTTTTGATGGCAGCACAACTGGGCCTAAATACTTCTGTTGACCTATTGGACAGGCACTGAAGGGATGTGAGAATCTTTCCATAGGTAATTTATTTATTTTAACTATTGTATTTATTTAATTTTTCATTTTTCATTTCAGTTGAGTTCAACATAATTGAGTCGAATATTCCGGCACTAGATGAGTCTGTAAGTACTGATCTCAGCACAGATCAAAAATATCTTTATGATATATGTGATGCTATTTCAAAAGGAACTGTTGACGAAAACTTATCCACACGAAGCCCTGGTAAAATTTTGCATTCCCGATGGCTGACAACGGCTAATCGCATACTGCGACTATACGTTTCAACAGCTGAACCATCAGAAAACTTGTCTACCTTGGTAACTTTTATTTTAAAAGTATATGGTCCAATATGGTTCATTATCAAAGCAAAATCGTCATGTTTTCAGGGAGCCTTTAATGTCTGGGAAATGATTAGTTTGTCAAGGCATTTACCGAAAAGATTGAAAGAAGTGATCGATCCAGTGATATTGCGAAATAGTTATTTTGCACATCCTGAAAATATTCTGCTTGGAATGCTAGGGGACACAAGAGAGCATATTCAAAAGTTTGCTGTGCTTCGAATTTTTAAAACTCGGAATTCTAACAAACAGCAATCAAGACGAAAATTTGAAGATCCAAATTCGCTGAATATGAGCGCTTCCAGTTATATGGACTTGATTGATTGGAGTACTTCTGTTATAACAGAACCGCCATTAACAATGGAGTTACCAGAAGAAGTTTTAAATGATATCTTGAAAAATCCGGCTTCATCGATGTTATTTTCTGAAATAAAATCGTATCTATGTCACATGCAAGACGGTGGAACGGGCTGTTAAAATAGTGACGGAAGCTTCAGCTGCAGTTTATGGTGGTGGTGACAAAAGAGATGGTGTAATAAGGGCAAAATTGGAATCACGTGGAATCATTCCTTCTTTTGGATCCAAACAAGATTATAAATTAGATTAAATTTTATTTGTACAAATTTTTTTTTCATAATATACCTATTTTTTAAGTTACCTTTAATATGACGTATTACTATTAGATATTAAAATATGTATTTTTATTTTGCATTTTGTAAAAGTTATGAATTCGTTCCATAATAAATAATAACTTGATTTTACTTGAATAATATTTTTTCATTTCATTTCATTTCATTTCATAAAATGTCTTTGTGGCAGTTCACATTGCAAAATAGGAAAATAACTATTAAAGAAAATCTGTTCCTTTTCAAGTAATTCAACTTTTAATTACATGCATATTATGAAAATTTAAATTTTTGAAAATCAAAAATTTAGTGTCATTGTGGCAGTTCTAAAAGATAAAATATTAAAAAAAAAATTAATGAAATATTTTTTCTCCCTTATTTCACAACTTTTTTTAACATGCAGACATAAGTACTAACACATTTTTAAATCCTCTATATACGTCGGCCCATCCTAACCTACAAACTTAGCGACTGTCGCATGAAATTGTTCCACAATATTACTATCAACATCATGTAATAGACTTCTGCTGTGATCTGACAAAGCATGTATAATTTGTAGAAGTGTGAAAACTTGCATTGTCTATGTCTTTCTTTAAAAGCAAAACGTTAATAATAGTGCTAAGACTATTTTCTTTTCTATAAGAAACTGCCTTCGTAACTGATGTTACGGAAAATTCACAAATAACTTTCTCTTTTAGGCTCAAAAAAATTTTACTAAATACGTTCAAATCTTCAATTCACCGGTATAACTAAATAAATCGCCGATCCATTTCCTATGATAGGGGAAATGTGGCTGGACGACCCGTTCTTGGAATTTTGAAGGTAGGGGTATAATAGGAGTAATACCTATGCCGACAAATTAGTTCTCATGAACGGAGCAATAACTCTTAAGAAAATGTCTACCGGCTATTAAAAATTTTGCAAAACGTTAAATCCTCTAGAATTCAGATAAGCAAATGGGGTATTATTGTTTACAGAATTCCATGCCTAATCTAAAATTTAAAAAAAATATATAGGGTATTCTATTTAAGATAACGAATATAGTGGTCACTTCCGTTATAACCGGAAGTTGCACAGATTTCATTTTATTTTAATTTAAAAGAGCATTCTCGATTATGTATTCCCAGAAATCGGCGAAAATACAAATTAATTTGTTCTTCATAAAGTTGTAATGCCTGCCTGAAGCTCTAGATAATACAAGTCAAGTTGATGTAATATATACAGATTTTGACAGAATTCATCATGGAGTTTTAATTTCCAAGTTAAAATTTTTTGGGATGCTTTAGAATTTATAAAATCGTATTTAACGAATAGAAAGCAATTTATTTCGTATAATGGCTATAAATCAAACAAATATTTGGCTTTATTAGGAGTTCCCCAAGGAACATCGTGTCGTGTTTTCGTGTTCCTCATAATAGGACATTCCCCATTTACTATACTCATTTTACAACCTTCTCACACTTTCATTTTATAAAGGATGATCTTTATAATAAGACTTTCTCACAAGTCTAAATGTCGTGCCGGTGACCAACCCATTTTATAATTTTGAAAAAAACTCAAAAACGGATAAAGAAAAAAACATTAAATTTTAAACCTTAGTTATATTTCGGCCTGACGTGAAATGATTAGATTTTGGATAAACTCGGAACATCTGCGGAGGTACTTTATGGGAGGCCGTTTTTATATTTTATGGAATATATCTGTTATGTCAAAATTTCCTGAAATGGTCCGTATTCGAGAAATTTGACAAAATATGCAAAATTCTGATTTTTATGAAAATTGTTGAACTAAAAGTTGTTTGCATATCGATCTCTATAATTTTTGTTGATTAACGATTTTTGTAAAATGGACCGTAATGGAAAAAGTTTCTTCTAAAAGTAAGTATTGTCCTATCTTTGTCCTAGCTTTAACTAAAAACATAAAAGCTGCAACTCATAAATGTTTGAAAAATTGGGATGGTTCGTTGACTTCTATGGAATCAAAACTAATTTTAAAAAGATTCCGTTATAGGATAAAAATGCACAAATTAAAATATGTATAAATTATTGGCGATGGAGACAGCAGTGTTTACCAAAAAATTTGCTTTGAGAGACCCTACGGAAGAACAATAGTCCGTAAAGTAGAATGCATAAACCATCTTCTCAGAAATTATAGCACAAATTTGCGTGATCTTGTGAAAAAAAAAAAATACAGTTCCAAATACGAAATAGTAAGTCCAGGACTAAAAAAATTTTGAATGATAAAATTTTGAAGCTACGAGTGGGAATTAAATCAGCTGTAAATTACCACAGAAATGTACTAGTGATACTATTGACAGCGTGAAGCAATTAATTGCCTTTCATTTACCAACTCCTGCTGGTCGAGGCTTCTAAAAAAAAAAGTCGGCACCTTTCATTTATAAACCAACTCCTGTTGGTCGAGCTTCTAAAAAAAAGCCAAAAACCCATCCTGCTGATCAAGTCAGCCTAAATGCCAGTTTGTTACTGAAAATGAAAAAATTTATAATTTGACGTTAGCGGGTCAAACTGATTAATAGCCGGCAGGCCGCCAAAACGCCGTATGTTGTCCACCCCTGTTCTAAATACTATAAAAAATAGTGGAAAGTCCATAACTTTTAAATATTTCTCAAATATTACTCAATAAAATATTATGCATTTAAAGTAAAATAAACTATAGACTTTCCACCATTCTTTACCGTACTCTGAACCCATTTTTAAAAACAATTTTTGAAAATATTATTGTATTTTTTGTGATAAAAAAGTCGCTGTCACTTATCATTGACAACGCGTTGAACGTGGCCTTAATCTAGAAATAAATAACATAAGAAAATAATGTCTTACATTTAAATTACAAATCAATATACATAATTTATCCACACTGTCAGAAGAACGTGTTTTTTTCTAGTCACATAATTTTTTTTTTTTTAATTTGTATATACGAGGATGTATCAGAAAATAACGAGATTGGTGCTATAGTATAACAACGAAACATTTATTTAAAAAAATTCAACAACTATCCTTCGAAGTACTCTTAATTCTGTTGAATACATTTATTCTATCGCTTTATCCACTTATCATAAACTTCTGAGAAACCATTTTTTGATAGTCTGTTTAGTATACCCATCACAGCGTTGTTGAGCTATAAATCCGACTCAAATCTTCTACCTCTCAATTATTTTTTGACTTCAGGAAACAAATGGAAGTCACATGGAGCAAGGTCAGGAGAGTAGGGGGGATGAACCATAATTTCAACCCCTAATTCTTCAATTGTTCGTTGACAAATCATTGATCTATGAGCCGGAGCATTGTCGTGATGCAGCGTCCAGCCAAAGTCCTGATAAAGCGGCCTTTTTCCTTTAATTTTGCCTTTAAGGGTCCTCGAAGTACATTAGAATAGTACTCCCCTGTTACTGTATGTCCTCTAGGTACAATGTGATCGTAAATAACGCCAAATTTATCAAAAAAAATCAGGTGCATCACTTTACTAGCGCATTTAGCAGTTTTGGCCTTCTGCGGTCTTGGGCTGCCTTTATGCTTCCATTGCATACTTTGAGACTTCAGTTCAGGATCGTAATGATAAAACCAACTTTCGTCACATGTAACCACATTATTTAAAAACTGTGGGTTACGTTGCAATTGCCTTTTCCACTGCTGACAAATTGTCACATGAATAATTTTTTGAGTGGTACCGTAAGACAAATTAACATTCTCAGAAATTCGTTTTATGCCAATCCGGCGATCATTTTGTATCAAGTCGTTAATTTCTGCAATTTTTGTGTCATTTCTCGCAGTTTGTGGTCGACCGGGACGAGGTTCATCTTCAACTGATTTACAACCGTCTTTAAACTTCAATAATTAATTTGTAACAAATGTCAAAAGTTAAATCAAAGCCTACTTGCGGGGTAGTACATTAAATATAAGGCTTTCATGTCTCATTTTTTGGGTTATAAAATGTTACCTCTGAAAGAAGTTATAGCACCAGTCTCGTTATATACTGATATATCCTCGTAGATTCTCAATTTTCTCGAGTATCTGCATTACTATATCATCGAAATAGATAACAAATCTTACTGGCAAGTTGTAACGCCCTTCTTTTCTCCACAAAGTATTTATAGGAAGACAAACTCAAGGGCGACAAATGCAGTGATCCATAAAACTTTAACAAACACAATTGATATTTCTTAATCCGGTCCCAGTAATTTATTACGCATTCGGCTAAATTCGTCTTCTTTTTTTTCCGACCTCCGGCACATCTTTCAAATCGAGCATTTTAACGAAATGAAAAACAATTTAATCTCCGCCGAACGCAATACATTAGTAACGGTTTTGTAATCGCGTAAATAATGGTGGAAACCGGAGATTTTTCTTCTCGAACGTCCAACTTTGCGGTCGAATCAATAGCGGTCAGGCAATGGCGAAGCTGTTGCTTCTAATCGGATCCCCATAATGAGTCCTTTCAGGAAAAATGCTGCAATTATTGGGTGAAAAATTACTTCGTTCCATCACTGCGCTCGCCAGTGTTGTTGCTACCGCTGCTGCTGGTGGCTTTTTTAGCTAAATTCAGTGATTAAAATTTATTCCATTGAACGGAACTGGAGCGAGAGCTCTCGGGTTTTATTTTATGCTTGAAAATATTATTTGAAATTGGTGTAGATTGTTATATAGATAACTTTATTTCAGTGTTTCGACGTGTAAATGAAAATATATTTCCTAAGCACGGTTAGTCGAACAATAAAATAATTCTTCTATGTGAAATTTTTACACGTTTTTTTTTATGTAGGGTGGCTTTAAAAATTTGACGCAATTCCCTATTAGGCCTTTAGCATATACAGGGTTGGCCAAACCTCTGTCG